CCTATGTTTAATTTTTTGAGGAACTGCCAGACTATTTTCCAAAGTGGCTGTACAATTTTACATTCTTATTGGCAATGCTGACTTTGCATATTCCAGCAGACCACTGAGTCAACAGAAGGGAAGAAACCTGGAGTAGACTCTCCCAAGTAAAGCAGTTGTGCAGTAGACCTCTGCTGGGGATTTTGGGAGATGTACCTCTGCTATGAGCTCAGCTACCCATTCTTATCATCTGGGAGAGAGCTGTTGGAGAGGATGGAGAAGATTTAAAAACCATTTAAAGCCAGGAGCTGTCTTTTCTTAATTCATCCTATAAGACTTGGAGTAAAACTATCAGTAACAGAGGAAGTAACTAAGAACCTTAATTAAGTTCTTTAAAAGCTAAAACCAGGTACAGTGGTGCCCATCTGTACTTCCAGTGACTTAGGAGGCCAAGGCAGGAGGATTGCAAGTTTGAAGCCAACTTGGACAACTTGGCAAGATTTTGTCTCAAAATAAAAAATGTAAAATGTAGCTCAGTGGTAGAGTCCCTCTGTGTTCAATTCCCAGCACCAATAAACAAACAAACAAATTAGTCAGTTTCTCTTAATCTAAATTCAAAGTTTATCAGAGCATTTGGCTACTGGCTTCCAACTTCCTAAACTGCAGCAGTCCAGACAGCAGATTCTACCCACTTTTCCATAGATCTGCCCAAGGAAGCTCAACTTATTAATTCTAAATTGCTATCACGTGGAAATACATAACTAGAAATTTATCAGTCATTTTTCTTGGAACTAAAATCGACAGGATTTTAGACATGTCCTTAGAATCTAGCCATTAATCCCTTTCAAGCCTTTCTAAAATCTTTATAGCATTCTGCTTTTCAATAATTATACAACAATTTCTTTCTCAAAGGATCTTTAGAATACTAGAAGAAGCTCTACTCTCTCCAAGTCAAGCAACGCTATAGAAATTCCACTCTCAAATTCTCAGGACAAAAAAATCCAAAAGTATAATAAAAGTATAAGGAAACAAAAGGCTACAAGAATGGGTTACAAAATACACTTCACATATTTGTATGTTCTATTTAGACTTCACAACAGTCCTACAGCAAATGTCCTTTGATCCCTCCCCCACTTTTTTTTTTTAAACAGAAAAGAAAATGGATTTAGAGATATCACTTTCCCAGGAACATATGAACAAATGGAGCAAAAGAAGAAACTGGGCTTTAGAGTTAGTACTGTATAACAGTTAATGGTTAAATCTCTGGTTAGAATGCCTGGATTCAAATCCTAACTTTATTGCTCACTGTGCAATCTTGGATAAATTACTTTTTCCCTCTAAGCCTAGGTTACCTTCTCAAAAGTGCAGACAATAGCAGTACCTATCTCACAGGAGGTGGGGCTGTGAGCATTGTACTAGCACATTTGACTCAATATGATATCTGAGTTATGAGTGGTTTCTGGATTGCTGACAGAAGCTGCTCTCTTTATGAGTCCTATTTTCTCAAACCAAAGATTGAGAAACAGGAAAAAGTTCCTTTATTTGCTGCTTTAGCAGAAAGCAAAAGTAAACATTCCCAAATTCTGAAAAAATCATCACTATTCAATCACAGTCACATAATTAATAAAGACCTAAAAGGTTTTTTGTTTGTTTGTTTTTGGAAGTGGGGACTGAATCCAGAGGTACTTCACCACTGATCTATAATTAAAATTTACAATATTAACATAAAAGTGTTAATATAGTGTATCCTTTTAAGAAAATGACTATTTACCCTACTTTTCAAAGGAGCTAATATTTAAGCTGTCAGAAAGATCTTTTTGCCATTAGGAAAACCTTGGTTCAAATAAAAACTTAACTAAAGTTACTAAATCTCTGAGGAGGACATTTCTTACTGAGTAGGGTGGTTATAAGAGTTAAATAAAATCATATATACAAAGTGCTTAGCACACTGTAGTAAGAACTCAGCCTGGGATAGCTATAGTTATTAAGCCCACTGTAGAAAACTGGAAAGAAAAGCATAAGAAAGAAAAAGGTCACTAGTAATTTTTCCTTTCAAGGGCAACTACTGCTAACTTTTAGTCTTTTTTTTTTCTATGTATTTTGTCTTTATATAGATTTGATCTCATACTACATAGACTAGGTATCCTCTTTTGCTTGTTTTGTTCTTTTGGGCCTATAGCATAAATTATGACTAGCCATAACAGCTTCTTTATGACTTCTAATAAAAGAGTTTTTCCTAGTTATGAAACTCTTGGGAATGATATGCTCTTGCCTACTATACCTTTCTGCCACTTTGAGGTCTCGCCTCCTGGTCCTGGACCAGTTCTGTCACCATCATCACTTGGGACCACCAAAGAAAATCTCCTAAGTGCATATGGGGTGCAGAGTATGTACGCGTCCCACAAACGCAAAGGCATAGTTCTGTAGGCCACAGTGTAGGGTAGTACAGAAAGTCTTATATTCCATAGCCACCAGTGTGACAGAAGTCACAAAACAAAAACAAAAACCCCAAACCTGATCACCTGACTTTGAAGATCCTTTCTAGATACCTTCTCTCATCTCCTCAGCAAAAAAAGAACAGATTTATTTGGAGATTTGTTTATTTAAGATCAACAACAATGGAATTAGCAGTAGTAGTGACTGCAGAGTTCCCCCTAAAACCAGAGAGTTGGCAAAAACAAATGTTATAGACGATTATATGTTACAGATGATTATATTTACATTTATTTTTATTTAATTTTCACTAACTTTGTATCTAGTGTATAAGTTGTATTATTTGGGCTAAAATGTTAGATTAAAACTGCCAGGACATTAAAGTCAAATTTAGCTCTAAATATTTGAACTATCTCCACTGTACTGTCATGCTGAACTACCCCTCACTCTCCAATGATGTCAGCTCTTGCTTTTTTCAGAGAATAGAATTATCCCTATAATTGTGGAGCCAAAAATATTCAACTAGATACAGAATTAGTGAAAATGAAATAAAAATTAAATGTAAATATAATCATCTATAACAGTTGTTTTTGCCAACACTCTGGTTTTAGGGAGAACTCTGCAGTCACTACTACTACTGCTATTCCCATTGTAGTTGATCTTAAATAAACAAATCTCCAGAAGAGTGATGGCCAGTGACTATACAGAGAAGACATTAAAATTAATTGGGAAACAGCAGATTGGGGTTTCTAAAGGGTCTGAGATTTTGGATCTATCACTGATGAGTTGTATAACCTAAAGGAACACAAATTCTCTGAACCTGTTTCTCATTTTAAAAATAGTAATCTAGGGCTGGGGATGTGGCTCAAGCGATAGTGCGCTGGCCTGGCATGTGTGCGGCCCAGGTTCCATCCTCAGCACCACATACAAAGATGTTGTGTCCGCCGAAAACTAAAAAATAAAAAAAAAATTTAAAAAAAGTAATCTTAATCTCTTTCAGTCTTATAGATTTTTTTTTTTTTTTTGTACCAGGCATTGAACTCAGGGGCACTAGGTCACTGAGCTACAATCCCCAGCCTATTTTGTATTTTATTTAGAGACAGGGTCTCACTGAGTTGCTTAGTGCCTTGCTTTTGCTGAGGCTGACTTTGAACTCACGAACCTCTTGCCTCAACCTCTGGAGCTGCTAGGATTATAGGCATGCATCACCGTGCCCAGCTTACTTACAGAAATTTTGCTTAGAAGAAAGTAAATAATGCATGTAAAAGTAATTTGTAGCTTTTTAAAAAGTATAAATATAAGGGGGAAATATTCTGCTTTTAAGATAATAGGGCAGGGGGAGATGAGTGAATCTCAAACACATCCAAACTGCCTTTTGAATTTTTATGTACGGTCAATAACTGCTCTAACATGCTAAAAAGACAAATCACTCTGAAAGATTTCCTCTATGATTATCCAGATTTCCTCCATACATGCATCATGCTGATTAAAGGGCTAGCTATCTTCATGCTGTGTTAGAGGACACTGAAGTTAGAACAATATAAAAGCTTATATCAAGAGCTTATACCAGCTAAGAAAGCATCAAGGAAAGTTAAGGAATTAGAGGTAGAAAGGATAAGCATCACCAAGGTCATAATAATTTCAACTAAAAAAAATAAAAGGTATAAACAGCTTAGAATTTAAAGTAAGGTTAAGAGATGGATTTTCCAAAGAGGGGGTCACTATTGGAACCCCACAGACAAGTCATTTTGTGTAGCTATTACATGCAACTCCTCCAGAGCCTGACATTTGATTACATTTAAAATTCATCTTTTGATTCCCTTCTCCTTCCTTCCCCATACACTGTGTGTTCTCGCCCCAACCCCCCACTTTTTCCTCCTTTGACTTATTTCCATTTCAATGTCTTCTAAGAGTCTAGGTCCAGTATCCTACTGGTCTTAACCGCTCCTTGCCTAGCTTTTCTCCTTGTATATACCTCTGGTCCCAGCATCCCACATGAACATGCCTCTTTGGAAAAAATCACATCTCAGGAGATAAAACATTATTCAAAACTATATTACTTTTTTTTTTCTTAAATAGAAAGAATAAGATTTTTAAATTTCAAGCTGTTTCCCTAGGAGGAGAGAGGAAGTTGGAATGCGGGAGAAGCAATGGTGGTTCCAAACCGGCTCAGACTTGTCAGACTTGGTCATTGGTGGTGGCACTCTGGCATTCTCATTCCATCGGGCAGTCAGTTAATGCAGGTAGGGGGAGGGGAACAGATGGGCAGACAGACTTGCAAAAATGGAGAGAAACAAGTAAGATAAAAAGATGGTAAAGGGAGTCAGAAACAAGGAAGAAAGTTGGAGGGCAGATGGAGAAAAAAATAAAGGAAAGGAGAAAACAGGGTAACAGAGGCAGGACTGAAGAGAGAGAACTAGGAGGGAGAGAACAAAAAGACAGCGGGTATTAATAAGGGTGGGATTGAGAGACCTGTGCCAAGGGCAGGGCGGGAAGAGGGGAAGGGAGCTAGAGACTGCCATGCCTAGCCTCATCTACTGTGTGTACTTCCTTACACTGTCATCGGTAGCTGCCTTATCTATTTTCACCTCTGGCAGTAGCCGCCCGCCAATGTGCGAGCCCGGCCCGCCGATGAGCGACACCACGCCATTGCAGTCCACGGTGCTGTTGCGCTTCACGCTGCGCCGCAGACTGGGGAAGATGCGCGAGGAGCGGCTGCCCTGGCTGTAGCCGCTGTAGCCGCTGTAGCTGCTGCGACGCTCCCGGGCCCGGATGGGGATGAACAGCGAGTCCCTGCGGCCTTCGCTCTCCTCCACGGTGCTGTGCTCGTCGTCTGCAAACTCGTTCTCCGAACCTGGGTCTCGGAACCGCCCAGGGCCCCGGAAGCTGAAGATGCTGCTTTTGCTGTTGTGGCGGGAGAGGAAGGGTGAGCCTGGGATGCTGAGCAGTGACTGAAGGGGGAAGAAAAAAGAAAGAGAAGCATGAGTTGGGCTGGGATCCCTTACAGGATAAGCCAAGACAGTGGTGCTGCCCGCCCAAACCCCACCCTGGAAGCTCTCTTATCAGAATGCAATGTTCCCTAGAGTAATGTTGCATGTTGTATTTCCACAACTCCATCATCCACTGTTACTTCCCCTCCTCCATACCCTCTGAGACACTCCTCTGTCTGACCAGCTAATCATCTAGAAACTCTACTCGCTGTTCACTAATGTATGGCTATGAGGCTTGTTATCTCACATTTTAGGTGGCTGATCCATTGGGAAGCACATCACTGTGTGTACTTCTTATGTTCACTAAGATTCACGAGGGTGAGTGTGCCCTTCCGCTTATTCAAGTTAAACTCTAATGCCACACAGAGAGAACTTGAAAAGTGCCCATACCACTTACTATTCCCTCCGTGAGTACTACTCTATAGTGGTCTTCAGGGCCTTTAAGTTTAGTTGAATATTATGCATGCCCTCTCTTGCCTCATTTTAGAGTCAATACAACATTTTTTTAATCAGAAATTTAAATAGCTGTAAATTATATAATTCCCAGATTAAATAATTGTAAATTACATAATTCTCTACATTCGCATTTTTCAAGTAAAACCATCACTTAAAATTCTTGTGACCCTTAAAATCTTTAAAAATAACATTTCCTGCATTGTTATTATAATTCTTATGAATATAATTGATCAAGCTACACAAATATATTACATATTTTATAATAAATTAGTTTAAACAGAAAATTTCATTAAAATGTTTAATGAGATAGATGAATTTATTCATTTTTAAAATTTTTATTATTTATTTTTATTTTTTATTTTTTAGAATTGGAGATTGATTAAAGGGGTGCTTTACCACTGAGCTACATCCCCAGCCCTTTTTACTTATTTATTATTATTTTGAGACAGGGTTTCACTAAGTTGTTTACGGCCTCACTAAATTGCTGAGGCTGGCTTTGTGGATTTTCATAAAACTGGGGCTTCACTATTTGTTTTAATACTTATTTTTAGAATGACACATGGCTCACCATCAATTCCCCCTCTTTTCTAGTAATAGATTTTAAATCCTGAGAAATCTTATTCATACAAATATTATCTTGGAAAGGAACAATTTTGTTATAGTAATATCACTTAATTCTTAAACTCTTTCCAAATTATATGCAAAAATTAATGTAGCAAACTATCAGCAAATTTCATCATAATGATCTATCACTTAACAAATCAATCGGGTCTTCTTTTAATTTTGTTGAAAGCAAAAAACTGAAAACCAAACTTGCCACAGGATTTTTTACCTAGTTGTCAGAAGTATTCCAAAAAGGATTTATTATTTACTAATAATTACATGAGTTACTCTTTTCCTTAAAGACACCTTTTTTAACCCACTTGAAAAGTTTGGAATAATTAAAACACTGTTAATTTCTTTATGTCATCTGCCACATTTTGCAATAAAATGATTCTATCTTATCACACAAAACTTTAGAGTGAAAGAAAGATTTGGCTCATTTCATTTATGAGAGCGTTCACCACATGATTTAATTGATAAAGCTAGTAGCCCTCAATGTCAAAGTAGCAGGCTAGATTAGACTTATTTTCATTTTGAAAAAGCATGACCTCATTTTTTCATTTTAAATAAATGTACCCCAGTGACAGTTATCCTATCCTGAATTTACAACAGCCCGACACCCTTGATTATAACTGCTTTATTTATTTTTTTAAATATTTATTTTTTTAGTTGTAGTTGGACACGGTACCTTTATTTTTATTTTTATGAGGTTGAGGATCAAACCCAGGGCCCTGTACATGCTAGGGGAGTGCTCTATTGCTGAGCCACAATCCTAGCCCATAACTGCTTTATTTTTAACAAAAATATAAGATATAGATAAATTCAGACAGCCTTATGGTGAATTTAAGGTCCCTAAAGAAAAATTCATAGACAGTAATATTTTCAACTGTCCTCTTACTTGGCATCCCAAAGACTTTTATACCTCAGAGAAATGAACCACATAAAATTTGGGATGAATAAGAAGGAGAGTACTTCTGAAAAGGGAAGTGGGAAAAGAGAACCAGTGTGATTTTTAACCACAGGGTTGATCTCAGGTAGTTGTGTGCTAAAGGTCTGGAAATTGGGTTCCTTAAAATTGTGCTTGGAAAGTCTTCAAGTGCCCCAAGAGGATATAAGCCCATTTTGAAGACCACTGCCCTAAGAGAAAGAAACTTGAAAAATGACTGCTATTAGACAATCCTCCTTGCTACCCTGAGATACTTAGTTTTGTCCAATTAGGACTTTGAAGGAGCTTCACAACAGCTTAAAAGTATGTAGGATTTTAAGAGTTTTTAGGTCTTAACTGCCCTTGCTACGTGTGGTGGCACACCTATAATCCCAATGACTCAGGAGGCTGAGGCAGGAGAGTCTCAAAAGTCCAACTCCAGTCTCAGCAACTTATCGAGACCCTCAGTAATTTAAAGACCCTGTCTCAAAACAAAAAAATATATAAATAAATAAAAAGGGCTGGGGATGTAACTCAGTAGAAAAGTACCCCGGGGTTCAATCACCAGTGGGGAGAAAAAAAAAAAAAAAGACTACATTGTAGAAGTTAAGAGCAGGCACTGTGCCAATATAGAGCATATATTGTAAGTGCTTAAAGAAACCTTTTTTTGATAATACTTTTGATAATAACATTGGAAAGGCTGTGGGACCCTTTTTAGTATTTATGTCCTTGTCTTTGTGTTGTATAGAACTCAATTTCTAGTTCTACACTCAAAAGGCTTTCAGTTTCTACCTCTTCCTATAACGTACAAAGTCCCCATCCCCAGATCAGTACATTTTCTTTGGAGAATTCTACTTTTATCATGGCTCCATTCTCTCACCTGTGTTTATTTATTTATTTTATTTTTTCATTTATTATGTAGTATTTTCCTGCCTAGGCTCTAAACCATTATTATTAGGTCATTTATATAAAGTTCACTGTTAAACACATGCCATAGGCTATACAAAGGCCTCTAGGAAAAAGGCTGCAGGTAAGAACATCTCTCATCACCCCGGTTTATTTTGTTCTGTAGCATCTTGGCTTCAGAGAGGAGGAAGTACACTAGTAGATTCCAGAATGGTGGCTGGGTCTTGTTATGAGTAAAGCCTGACTCGCTGTCACAAGGGCATGTGCCTGGCCAATCTTATGCTTTCTCCTATGTTGTTGGATTGGTAAAGAGATGGGGGCCTCCTCTGCCTTACTACTCCTCTCTTGTTTAGGCATCCCCATTGAGTCATTGAGTCATTCCCCTGAACCAGTTCTATTCAAAGTGTGATTCAAAGATCAATGCTAGTATAAGATGTGTTACTGGTTTGCAAAGAGACAAGCAAAGAAACTGAGAGAAACATTTAGAAATTTTTATAGCAATTAACATAGTCATAACATTTAAGAATGTGATGACTTTTCCAGAAATTCATTGTTATTATATTTTATAATGGTATCAGTTTATGAAGAATAGGGAAAAAATAGAAATTAGTCCTTCAGCACAGTTTGGGACACACTCACTGTTCTAAAGCTGGAGATGGTACCTTAAGATGCACAGGTACAGAGGAAGAGTTTATTTCTCAACTCCCAAGAAAGGTGGCCATGCCACACCACGGAGGACCATGTGTAAAGTGTCAGGGATGGCTAGGAGGCAGGATTGAGTGGGAAAGCATAGTCCAGAGCCTTTATTGTAGTTTGATTCTCCAGGAATGAGTGAAGCAGAACAGATAACTTTAGGACTGGACAGTCAATAATTTTAGAGGGGTTTGGATTATAGAAGTGATACTTGGTATCTAGTACCTGACCCTGGGTGGTTTGGGGCAAGAGAAATACTGGCTTGTTTTTTGAGTTAGACAGGAGATGACTTGGGGTATGAGCTCTGGATCTGTTGATCTACATATGAAAGGCATGCTCAAAAGCAAGTATGAAGTTCTAGTGGCAACATGTCTATAATCCCAGTGGCTTGGGAGGCTGAGACAGAAAGATTGTAAATTCAAGGCTAGTCTCAGCAATTTAGTAAGATCCTGTCTTTAAAAAAAAAAAAAAAAAAAAAAAAAAAACATTAAAAAAAAGGCAATGTGACATAGAACACTCAGGGTACAGGTCTAGATGTTAACAGATTAGGAACTTATATTACCCTGAGGGCCTCACTGGAGAGAAAAATGACTAGGGGAAAAAAAGGACTCAGACATTTTGGTGTGTCTTTGTTAAATTCCACAATCATCCTTAAAACCATCACTCCATGTCCTAAGAAGTGAAATCAAGACCCTTCCAACTCTGATTCCAATTTACTTATTACATTTTATCTTTCACTATTTCCCCTCACACACCCGGCCATACAGTCACCCTGCCTTCAGGACTTTATTTTCTCCATTTCCAGTGCACACTCCATTTTCAACTATGGAAGAGCATATTGCCTGATCATCTTTATATCTCGTGGGCTATTTTGCATATGAGATACAACATTTAGCTTAATTAACAAGTATTTCAATTATACACTGCAAGTAAGTCACCTGGATTGAACCCATATTTTATATTCAGCCAATATGGGTGCTGACACTACCCTATACATTAGTCCCCAACCAAGGAAAAGAGGTTTCATTTGTTTGAAGATAAAATTAAATTTTGTTTAATGAAATACTAATTATGTCTGAGGACTTATCACTCTATTAATTCCTGGAATCGAGTTAGATTTATGAGATGATTAGATCTTACTTCTTGTTTTCAAAATCTTTCCTGCCAACCAACTAGATCCTTTTGGTCCTTTTCAGATGGTCACAACACAGCTAATTAAAGAGATCACCTTAGGTCTATGTACTTCTTAGAAGAATGGCTTTGAGGTGTTCAGGATTTGAGGGAGCAGATCTCACAGAAAAATCGACTGTCGGGATTTCAGGGCACCCACAGGTCTACAACAACTTGGATATTTAGAATCTGACAAATGGGTGATTTT